GTGATTTCCTTGACTGGCTCTGCTGCAAATCCTCTGATGTCACACACAACATTTGGACACAGTTTTCTCCAGCAGGAAATTGTTTCAGGTTTGAGGATATTCATGGCTTTTCCTATAATAACAATAGCATCTTCAATGGTGTAATCCTTCCAGACTTTCATGATGTTCTCTCAATTGGGGTTCTCTTCCACAGCACTGACAATCCTTCCATAGAGTACAATGTGTAATGAGTCTTAAAGGTCCCTATGATCTCCTGATCTAGAGATGTCGTGTTTGGGGACAAGCAGACCGCTTTGATCCTTCAGTGTTGATCTCAAGGAGTTCTGGGTGGTCAGGGGCATTGTCCAATATCAAAAGATCTTTAAAGGGTAGTCCTTTACTGGCAAGGTACTTCCTGAATTCGAGGACAAAGCATCAATGGAACAAATCCATAAAAAGGGTTCTCTTTGTCCAGGCCTTCTTGTTGTATAACCAAAATATTGGCAGCTGGTGTTTATCTTTTTCCTTCAAAGATCAGAGGTTAGCAACTTTATAAAGGCAGTTCTGATCATAACAGTAGAGTTAGGATATCCCTTTCTGCCTTAAATCTTGGTGTTCACTTCGTTTCCTTACTAATAAATGTCTTTTGTGGCATTATTATTATTTCTTCCCCCTGAAATAGGGCTCCTTTGCCTGCATTAAGAACCTGTTCAAGCGGATGTTTTCTTAATGGCATCTGGGAACTTGTCTGCTATCTCTTGGGCTGCAGAAGTAGCTTCTCCTGTTACATTGACATTTTTTAAGCCAAATCTCTTTCTATAATTATCAAACCATCCTTTGCTGGCATTAAATTCTCCAGATTTAGGCAATTCACCTTCCTTTTGCTTTAAGTTGTCATATAATGACTTTGCTTTTTCTTGAATCATATTAGCATCTAAAGGTATGCCTTTCTTGGAGCAATACTGCAACCACATAAAACTTGCACTTTTCAACACAAGATAAAAAGGTATTTCACAAAAAGTGCCAGGTTTTTGCATCTGCTGGTGTAGCCACAGTGATGGCTTCACAATTTGCTTCTGTAGCTGCAGACCTCAATCTACAGTACATATCAAGCAATTCAACTTTTTCTTGTAATGTCATGACTTTTCTCTGCTTCTTGGGAGCACTTCATCATCACTAGTAGCACTTCGTATGGGTCCCATGATGTTTTTCAAGGTTTGTGGTATTGCACTAAACACAATGAAAAATATACAAGAACTGTGAGAGATCACTTTTAACTGTGAAACACAATTTACTGGAAAGATAACTGCTCAAGTGGAGATGATCAGCCTCATGTGGTGTTTTAAGTGGATACTTGTAACATTTGAGCTCACCACAATAGCAAGAGGAGGTGGCTATGAAATCATTACAGTAGTGTAGTATGTCCTATAGTCATTTTTATGCGAGTATTGTTTACATTCTTTGGACTGGGAATAGTGGAATAGTATCATGTACAGTCTGCAAGTGTGTGCTAAGTTTTGATAAATTGTAACATTTTATAAGAGATTTGTGTATATTTGATGGTGTAAATAACATAGACTAATATCTACATATATTTTAGGCATCATGACATATTTTTTCAATGTTTCTAGATTCATTTGTGAGTTTTTTCAAATTGTTGCAGATTTCCAAAAAATCTTCCAATATATTTATTGAAAAAAATCCACGTGTAAGTGGACCCGTGCAGTTCAAACCCATATTGTTCAAGGGTCAACTATATTCATATATTTACTTACATACTATCACACAATGGAATCCAGTAAGATTACTTTAACTTTAAAATGGTCGTGTACAAACACACTTGGGGTTCTAGAGACCATAAATTGGATCGAAACAACCATAATTTATTGGTTGCTTACTATACTGTGCTAGACTATATGCACAGTCTGTGGTGTAGACTTTTGGGGAATACAATTATTTAAGGTAGTTGTACCAGATTATAAATTTCATAAAGATTGGGACTAGGTCTGCCTGACTCACGTGTAAGTCACTGAAGACTGGACATACCTCTCTCCAGCTTCTATTACTGTCTCATTTTCTTCCAGTCATACAATGGCCTGGGGCTCTACCTTAAAATAGTGACTATTACTAATTTGTGCCATAAAATCTTGCCTGAAAAACTTTATATGGCTCTAGAACCCTAAATAAATATAACAACAATTCTTTAGTTTGACGAAAGGGAACTGCAAAATGGTAACTGTCTAATTTAAAAGTTGAGTATTCTATGGAGCAAGTCAGAAGGTCATCAGAACAGCAATTCATAAATTCTACATCGATGTCCATAAACTGAAGGTTGCCGTAGTCAGTGCCATATGTGGTAAACTGAAAATAAAAGTAGCACCTGGGATTAGGAATCTTTGAACAGACGGGGAACTGCCCCACCAATTCCTCAGTGACAAATGATGACAAAAAGATTTTAATAGCAGTGAGGGGCAGCTCTGGATTCCTGATAACTCTCTACCTTCAGCTTTATTCTTACTGCTAAATCTCAAACTTTCTCCCTTATCTGCCACCTTCGATTACCATGTTTTTCTGTTTTTCTTCCTCTCTTTCACTCTGGTACCCTCAAAGGCACATACACATATTTCAAAGAGAGAAAAAAAAGTTTATCTACAGGGTGTCAAACTAAGTGTAGAAACGGAAAGAGAGAGAAGAAAAGAGAACAAAAATAAGAGAAACTGCACTCCAAATTTCTTTTCTCTCTGGGTCTGAACTGCAAAAGTATTTTCTAAGGCACTGTAACTCACTGGCACGTGGAAAGAAGAGGATGGCAGCTTCTCTCTGATTTCCTCAGGAACCCTGGAGTAGCACTGGCTTCCCTGCACTTCATCTGTCTGATCAGAACCCGTAGCCAGGCTGCTCTGGGGATTAGGCCTGTCAGCCGACACCAACTGCCTTTAAAACTAATGGAGACTGGCTCACGCCTGTAATCCTAGCACTCTGGGAGGCTGAGGCGAGCGGATTGTTTGAGCTCAGGAGTTTGAAACCAGCCTGAGCAAGAGTGAGACCCTGTCTCTACTAAAAATAGAAAGAAATTAATCGGACAACTAAAAATATATAGAAAAAAAAATTAGCCGGGCATACTGGCGCATGCCTGTAGTCCCAGCTACTCGGGAGGCTGAGGCAGAAGGATAGCTTGAGCCCAGGAGTTTGAGGTTGCTGTGAGCTAGGCTGACGCCACGGCATTCTAGCCCGGGCAACACAATGAGACTCTGTCTCAAAAAAAAAAAAGAAAAACTAATGGAGACTGATCTTGGTTTCCTTTGAAAGATGAAACTGGCCCCAAACCCTAACAAGAAGTCTCAATGCGAGAAAGGCAAATCTTCCATGTTCTCACTAATATGTGGGAGCTAAATATTAAAAACAATTGATCTCATGGAGACAGAGAGTAGAATGATGGTTACCAGAGGCTGGGAAGGGTAGCAGAGGAGGGATAAAGTGGGGATGGTCAATGAGTACAGAAATAGAATGAACAATATTTGACAACACAACAAAGTGACTATAATCAACAATAAGTTAGAGTATACTTTAATTCGCATTGTATGCCTGTATCAAAATATCGCATGTATCCTATGAAAGACATACAACTCATAATAATTTTTAAAAAGTCTAACTGTGATAATAATATGTGACAGATATGCACAATGCAGTTCAGAATTCATGAATTTCAAACAATACTCAATATATTTCAAGCCAGCAAGAATTTTTAGTTTACTGGCATTGGCTGAATAATAGCAATTCTCAATTACCCACTGTAAGCAACACCAGGGAAAGTATGGCTAACCTAAGTACAAAGGCATTAAATTACAAAACTGTAAGGTTTCATCCCATAGGCACCCATTACAGAAGTAAAAAAATAATAGAGAAAGCAGGCAAAGAAACAAAGAATGAAGGAAAAAAATTTTTTTGAAGAGAAAAACTAAAACAAAACTGAAAGGCTTGAGTTATTTCCTTACCTTGCTCAAAATTATGCCCTGGTAGAAATATTAGTGGGGATTATAGAAAGAGTTGGAAATAGGAAGAAGAAAGTGACTTAAATGATTTATAGACCACATAAAAAGCTCCTAAATGATCTTATTTTAGCTCTATAACAATGTACCTGGAATAAGAGATTCATTTAAACTTGAAAACAGGCAGCTAAGCCCCTTAAATTATCTCTTGACTTCATTTTGAAAAATTACACAATATGCTTTGTTTCCACAACAAGATTCACTTTAATCTTACCTCTGGTAAACAGAATTCAGGCACAGAATCCACAAATACATGACCCGAGCATTCCTTTAGCTCCTAAAAGAAATCGAAAAGGAAAAATACTAAGAAGAGATATCTAATGGAGACGGTACCAAAGAAATTTAATTCCCAAACCAAACTTTTCATGAAGAGTCACAGACTTCTAGAGTTGGAGGGAAGCTAGGAAGGTATTTAGGCTAACTCTTCCTCTGTTTAGGCTCAGGTAGGTCAAGTGTCTTAATGAGGGTAAAAATGCTGGCTGGTGGCAGACTTGGGACATGAATGCACATTTCTTGATGCCATTCAAGAAAGCCATGCATGGACACATGCTACTTCCATAACCCATGATCCATGGTTTCCAAATAATAGTCATGGAGACCACAACAGCAATGTCAGAATTACCTGGGGACACTGATGAAATTAAAGATTCCTGGGCCCCGACACCTTAGGGATCAAAAACTGGGGATGAGGCCATGGAATCTGTATTTGTAACAAGCACCTCCAGTGATTCTGTTATTTAATTAGGTTGGGAGTCACAGCCCTAAACAGATTACTTAGAGGCTCTTTCTCCACCTCCCAAGGGTTGGGGTGAAAGGGGCAAGAAAGGAGGGAGGATCACGAGTAGAGGGCAGGGATTAAACAACTACTACTACTGTCACCGCCATGAATGTAATGTTTGTCTTTGCAGAGTATACAATTTGTTTGGAATTATAAACTAATTGTATTTATTTTTTAAAAAAGCATATATATATAAAAAGAAACAGAATACAGTGCAATTCCCCAGCCCATCCATGACCTACCATATTTAATATGCCTGTGTTAGTTTAGATTCCCCCATAGGCCAACCCTGAGAAAAGGCTTTGAGAGCAAGTGGTTTATATCGGAGGTGCTGATAAAACAGCAGGAGAATGGGGAAGTGGTAAATAGAGAGAAGGGTAACTGATAATGGATATGTTATTGAGCCATATACTATTTTGAGCAACTGGAACCTACTCCTATGGGGAAACTCTGAGAAATGGTATAACACACACACCTCAGAGTTATCCTACTGAGAAGCAATGGGTCTAGAATATTTATATACCAACTTCTACATTTTGTGCAGCTTCAGGAAAAACTCTCAGGCAAAACAATACAGATCCTGGCAGCTGGAATTATGATGGAGAATACTGAAATAGAAAGACCTGAGAGATATGTGTGGGCCACCAATAGGGTCTGCCACAATGCCTCCAGAAGGCCACGAGAGTTGTTTTCTCACCTCACTGACACTTGTAAACTGAAGTCTATGGTCAATTTTTTTCACCATAGAGGTTAAAGCTACCCATGACTTTACAATGTTTCGGGTTCCAGTAAAGGATAGAAAAGACAGTTTCCTTTGCTCTTTCTAGAAAGGGAAAGATACTGTTATAATTTTGTTCTAGCACGTTTCCATCAGTCACTGAACATCTATTTCTATATATTCATACATACATGTACCTATCTTTACATATCAGGGTCTGAATGATTTTGCTTTCAATCTTTATCTGACAATAGGGCGTTAACTACATGTTATTGTCCTTTTGAACTTTTCATGTGTCAAATCATAACCTCGATAGAGTATCTCCTCCCTCTGCCTTCCACTGCATGCTCCGGCTCCTCTCCTTACGCGAGCACTGTTTAACCAGGGATAGGCTGAGCCAGAGACTGAAAGTAGTTCTTAATTACAATGTACCTGCCAGCCGAAAACAAATGAGCAATTATGTTTAATGGGAGAAGACTCTCAACTCCCTCAGGATGAGGTTAAAAATGATTAAAGACAAATCATGGGAAATTTCAAAGCTTTGCCTGGTCTTTAATTGGCTATGTAATCTTCTTCCCCATAATGCTACATTTCAGGGCACGTCATATGATAAAGTCTCCTCTGAGGCTCTCACCCTTCCTGGCCTGCAGAAGCATATTTGCCATTCCAAACACTTACAATGTCACTGGATTTTATTCACCACTCCCTGCTAATGAAATACTCCCGCATACGCAGGCAAGTCATTTCGCTCACAATGCGCTGGTAATGGGATGCTTCTGAGCCTTTCTCAGGGAACAATGATTTACAGCCAGCAGGAGACTCGGACTGAAATCAGGTGCACAGGTTCCTGAATGTCACATAATTTTACAGTCAGCTATGAAGAAAATCTGGTTTCAAATTATGCATTTGGCTTGCACTTGAGGTTGGGGTGTAGTTATAGGAATTAATTCTGCAAAAAGTACCTCTTTATTTAACAGTATCTGTTATAAGAAAAAAGTGCTTTATTTAGATGAATCATTTTAAGGATCTTTAAACTCGTTCAGTTTTTCAACTGTGACACTTAGGAGAGGAAGAATGATTTAGAGATCTAATAAGTGGCCTGGCTGAGCGTTACAGTTTTTAACCTTCCCATACCTCTGATTTTATTTTAGTAAAAAGTTTGATATAGTTTTAACATTTTTTGTAGCTTTGGACTCTCATTTAATAAGTTTACTGTCCAAATACTGATATGAAAAAGGAAATACTGAAAAGATAACCTAGTGTCAAAAATTTAATAGCCTTGGAAACAAAGTAATTTAAGTCATTTACTTTAGGTCTAGTTAGTTAGTGATTAAAGTCATAATAGGATGCTAAACCCTAGATTCCTAGAACTGTTTTTTGTTTTTTTTTTTAAATAATCTATAAGATTGTCCATTCTAGGCCACCAGGGAAAGGCTGGAATAGGATCGAAGATCATAGTCTGGAAGACCTTCTACTCAAATTTGCCTAAGCACACTCCCCTCCCGCACCATCCTTCCCACCTCCAAACACACTGCTGTAAAGTCAAATACCCTGCTCCGCAGAATATTCTCGATACTATGGCCTGAATGATCCAAACAGACAATGATACTGTCCTTCTGGAAACTTCTGTGGCCTCTCATCACCCAAAAGACGACCCAACAAAGTCCTATCTGATCTGACCCCTGATAGAAGTAGTTAAAAATTCACATACTTGTGGATTTTAAAGTTATTTAAGAAAAAGTTTTACTTCTTCCAATCATAGAATCAGTATAGCTTCAAAATGAACTGCACTTAACTCCTGAATAAGCATCACCTTTAAAACTCTCATTGCAATTCTAGAATAATAGTTTTCTTTCTGTGGTGATAAAAGTATTTGTAGCAGAAGTACTTTGATTTCTACTCATGAACAAACTGGATCTGAATCTGAAAAGAGATTCCCTAAAAGGCACTTAAAAACAATAATTACAAAGTAGTGAAGACCCTACCATGGATTTTTGGGTTTTTCAGAGATAATACACCTGAAGAAAAAAAAACGAGCCATCGGTCATACTGCCACAGGTGGCTCTGGTATGAAGGGAAGGATATCTACTGGGTGTAGATATGTTTCTGTTTTTTTGTCTTGGGCATTACCTTGTCCAAGAAAGCACTGCCATCCTTCAGGGACCAGCCAGGAAGATTAGTCAGCCTGGGACTGCAAAACAAAAGATTAAATTATCCTAAATAGATTACAATCTTCAGTGATTTCACGGTGACTGTACTGTCTCCACAAAGTTAAAAACAGTTTAAAATTACTGGCAGCAATGCTTACCACAAGTACCAATAAAAAAGAAGAGAAATAACCATGTTGTATTAATATCAAGCTTAAGAATTATATGGTCACGGGACAGTAAAAGGTCTAATAGTTTAGCAAAAAATTGGGAAAATTAAAAGAATGTTATGAAGAATAAAAGATGAGATGCCAGAGCATTTTATAGTGTTCCAATCACTGCCTCCTACTTTCCCTTGTTTGTGTCTAACATAGCCTTGATGGGAGGTCAGAATGGGAATCTTCGTATTGCAGATGACAAAACAGACTCAGAGGTTGGGTGCTCTGAGGAGAACACTCACCCACTGGAAGACTCACTACCCACCAGTCAGAATTCACCTCGAACATGAATACCTGCACTCTAGTCAAATCCAAACTCTGGATTCACTGCGTACAAGTAGATCAGTTACTGTCACCTGTGGCATCAGTTTCCAATTCTGGAAAAAGCAGCTCATTTCCTCAAGTTTTACAAAGTGATGCCATATCTGAGTGAATAGTTTCTAGAAGGTAAGGTGAATGTCATGTTACATTAAAAAAGTCTGAATTCAAAAGTCATTTACTGTTGGTAATCTTAGGATTTAACTGTCTACTACTAGTTGACCAGAAGAATTATATTGGAAACTGAAAATGCCAATAATTCAGGAAAGAAAACAATATGTCAGGCAAATAAAAACTTTAATGACTAAGGCAATGTGTGGAGAAAAAGCACATCAGGAGTACAAATTCAACGGCCAAAGGACTGCAGCACTTCCCCACTAAAGTAGTCTGTGAATTAAAAATTAAGGGCAAAGTAAAGGTGTGGGACTAATAGGATTCTATAATCAGAAACCAAATAGTTGTAGAGTTCCTCATCCTCTCTCCAAAATAATTTTATCAGATACTGACTTTTTAATTAGGTGATAGATGATAAAGTCAAATAGAAACATAAATATGTGAATATCTGTCAATCTTCTAGAAAAGGTTAAAAACCCAAATAAAATATATATGAATCTAATTTCTGAAAAAAGTGAGAATTGTGGGGGTAAATTTTAATTGTGACAATAATTCCAAACTTACAGAAAAGCTGCAAGAATCTAAGTACAATGAACTTCCACATATCCTTTATCTAAACTTATTAACTGTTTACATTTTGCCATTATTTACCCAAAAGTGAGAATTGCAA